ATCCCAATTTTTTTTGTGTTATTTTAAAAAAAAAAAAAAAAACCCCCCTCCCCCCCCCCCCCCCCCCCCCCACGAAATTATCTGTTAATTGTTTATCTGCTTTAATGCACTTATCAAAACAACAAAAGCAGCCAAATGTCAAAGGTATCGATAAAACAAGTATTCAAAATGTATAATTTAAATTACAATCTGCAAAGGAGTAGAAAGATATGTTAAAATATGTTCAAAATAAGTTAATAAATAAATAAGATTTTTTTTTTTTCACAAAATCTGTAATTTGCTGTTGCTGTTTGTTTGTAATAAAACATCCACAGGTCATGTTTGCATTTTCTTCTGTTGCCGGCCTTAATTCTAACCAGGAAATTAGACATAAAATAATGTCATACATGTGAAAATCGGCTGAGAATGTAACAAATTGTTGTAACCTGGCTCAGGTAAAGACAGAAATCATATCTTTGTGGCAGTTAAGGCCATCCAAGTTGTAGATGAGCTTCTTCGTTGAAACAGATTTAGAGAAGTTTAGCATCATTTGCTCACCAATGGATCCTCTGCAGTGAATGGGTGCCGACAGAATGAGAGTCCAAACAATAAACATAAACATCACAATAATTCACATGACTCTAGCCCATTAATTAACATATTGTAAAGTTACGTGCTTGTAAAAAACAAGTCCATCGTTAACCAGTTTTTAACTTCAAATTGTCGCTTCTGGCCACCGTAATCCATAATAACACTTCCTCCAGTGAAAAAGTCCATCCCCTGATGTCCTCTCACATCAAAATCCACAGACATATTTGTTTAGAACTGTTTTTGCTTGTAAACGGTGCTTGATCTGTGTATATTTCTCTCCTTATTATGACTGGAGAAAGCAATATTATGGATAGAGGATCCTTGTTTTAGCTGTAAGTAGTGCGGTTTGAAGTTAAAAACATCTTAATGATGGATTTGTTTCTTACAAACAAGCAACTTTATTCTTCACAAGATGTTAATCGATGGACTGGAGTTGTGTGGATTTTATTGTGATGTTTTTATCAGCTGTTTGGACTCTCATTCTGACGGCACCCATTCGCTGCAGAGGATCCATTGGTGAGCGAGTGATGCAATGTTAAATTTCTCCAAATCTGTTCTGATGATGAAACAAACTCATCTACATCTTGGATGGCCCAAGGGTGAGTAAATTTGCAGCAAATTTTCATTTTTGGGAGAACTATTCCTTTAAAAATAATTTTACATTAATTATATATGAAGGCTTCAAGTAAAAGTTATACAATTATAATGCTCTTTGCATATGTATGTTTAGGGTCAGAGGGATTCGCTCCACATACAGATGGCTCACAGTATGAAAATGGTATGTGTATAACAGGATCTCGCTATTGTATCTCATGGAGGTCATTTCTTACTTAAATGCTGTACAGACTTATACGTGAACAGATCTTATATTCTTGCATCAGGGGAAACGGCTCATGATGGATCTCAAATCGAGTCTCCAGGTGATAAACATCAAAGTTTACATGCAGTTTACCCAATGTTTTCTGTTAAATGATAATTGATGTCATAATTGATACAGATGGCTCACAGTATGAAAATGGTATGTGTATAACAGGATCTCGCTATTGTATCTCATGGAGGTCATTTCTTACTTCTTAAATGCTGTACAGACTTATACGTGAACAGATCTTATATTCTTGCATCAGGGGAAACGGCTCATGATGGATCTCAAATCGAGTCTCCAGGTGATAAACATCAAAGTTTACATGCAGTTTACCCAATGTTTTCTGTTAAATGATAATTGATGTCATAATTATGTAATTTTTATCTTGTACATTTAGAAACCCCTGAGATGGAATCTAACGGTGAGTCTTATTGTGCATTAATGCACAGCAAACAATACTGTGCATCATATTAATCAGAACGAGTGATTTAGTAATTTTAATCGGGTTCCTCTCACAGGTAATGGACACAAACAACTACTGAATGGAGGAGAAACAGGATTTACAGGTGAGGAAACAATGAATATATGGTTTTTAATTGACTGGCATTTCATACAGCATGAAAACAGATTTAAAATATCTCTGATGTTAACCTGCTGTTTTTGATGCGGGCTTGGATCATTTCATGGAAGGCACATCTCAGATACAAGGAACAGGTATAAAAACATGATTTAAAATCCGACCATGGAAGAACCATTCATTTCTGAGATAAAAATATACTTGCATTGTTTTCAGTTCAAAAATTCTGTTCTCGTCATGCGTGTTGTTTGGTTCATGTATGTTGCAGATGGTTTTGATTCATTTGGCACAAGCCCTCACCTGGAAATTACAGGTAAACATCAGTTCAACTCTTCTGACCTACCAAAGCTAAATACATTTTGTCAAGATTGAGTTATTGAGTCCAAAACTCTGATCAGAAGCACCTACACTACTGTCGAAAAAAAATGTATATATATATATATATATATTGACAACACCTTAAATTGACCCCAGAAGTGACAGACATTTTTAATTTTACAAAAGATTTGTATTTCAAATAAATGTTGCTCTTTTGATATTTCTATTCATCAAAGAATCCTTAAACATGTATTATTTTTCAACAAAAATAATAAGTATCACAACTGTTTTCAGTGCTGATAATAAGACATGTTTCTTGAGCAGCAAATCAGCATATTAGAATGATTTCTGAAGGATCATGTGACACTGAAGACTGGAGTAACGTGGAGTCATTAAAATGGAAAAAGTTATTTTAAATTGTAATAATATTTGAGAATATTACAGTTTTTACTGTATTTTTGATTTTTCAAAAACATTCAAACAATTTAATGACCCCAACTTTTAAACCGAACATCAAAAACACCACTATAAAACATCTATACATATTCTCTAAATAATAATGTGAGCATCAGAACACACTGTGTATATTAGGAACTCAAACGTTTCATTGCAAAATTTAATTGCAGGCATAATAGATCAGTCAAGCCATGACTTGCTTGTTGGCTTAATGGGTGAGCATTTCTTTATTCTCATTAATTAATGGAAGGAATACTGAATGTAGTATGGACACAGAATGTCTCCCTCTACAGGTGAGAGGACAGGAGAGAGCTTTGGTCCAGAGACTCAAACAGACGGGCTAGGTACACTTTTAGACCTCTTAGACACTCCTCCAGACGTTCCACCCACATGCCTAGTAACTGACGCTGTCTCAACAGATCACATGGGACTCGCATTTCAGGTGGATTCGGCAGGTAAGAGTCCAACTCAAGTCATCCATTTTTCACTTAACCAGAGAGGCTTGATGTTTACGGCTTTTGAGCTGCGGACACCAGAATTGCTTTCTGCTGATCTCATTGGCCTTGTAACAAACAGGACGTCCCACACTAGTTAAGTTCACTTGATTTACTTTTATGCCCATGCTGTGAAATGGCTCACATACAGCACTGAGAGCCTTCTCTCATTCTGTCCAGCTGTCACACTCTACTAATTATGGGCCGCGCTGACAGAATAAACCAGCCAGATTCTGTTCTCTACCTAATAATTTATTGAAAGACGACTGGTGTGAATCAAAGCTGTCTTTTTTCTCTCACTGGTTCTCCTTTTCAGCTGCTGGCCTGAGCCCAGGGCACCCGTCCAGTGGCGGTCCAGTTCTAGACGCTCCTCCAGGTAATGGCTGCTGGCTTCCACTCTGTGCTCCTTTAGGTCCTGTAAATTTAGAGTGCTTTACCCCAGTAGCCGTGGGATTATTCCAGCACACGTCTAATAAACCTCCGTCGTTCCGGTCATGACATTGGCTCCGAAAGGGGCGAAATGACAACTTTCAGAGGCATTTTTAGTGTCACGAGAGGTCACTGGGGGTTCATGCATCCGTATGAATTACACAGACTGATCACTGAAGTCATAACTCAACTTACTGAATGAGTGTAGGAGCATTTAGATGGATAGATAGAACAACTGATTGAATGAAAGAACGATAGATAGAATGATAGATATTTAAATAGTCATGTCAACATGTCTAGAAAACCCAATCAATTACCTTGCTAACTGTCTCTTGTTCTGTATATCAGATTATCTGTCGGTTGACAATGGGAACGGTGATTATACCCATTCAATCAGTTAGTAAAGTATTAATCTGTGGATAGATAGAACAACTGATTGAATGAAAGAACGATAGATAGAATGATAGATAGATAGATATTTAAATAGTCATGTCAACATGTCTAGAAAACCCAATCAATTACCTTGCTAACTGTCTCTTGTTCTGTATATCAGATTATCTGTCGGTTGTCAATGGGAACGGTGATTATACCCATTCAATCAGTTAGTAAAGTATTAATCTGATTACTAGCATTAAATTAGTAATAGTATATTATGTTAACAGAGTCTTTCTAATAATATCTTTCATAATATCTCCAGGCATGTCTGATAATGGAGCCCAATCAAAATCACCAGCTGATACAACAGGTAAACTGATGTTAAACAACATTGCTCACCAAAAAACCTGCATGGTCTGGTGGAAAGTGACTTGAAGCGCTGAAACAGAAAGTATGTCTAATCTTAATTCGGACTGATATTTGCAGATTCATCTGTAGTCTTTGACACAATGTCACATCCGGGTCATTCATTCATAGACTATTCAGGTAAGATAACTATTCTAGTAAAACTCTGCAATCAGGCCTCATTTGTTAAAGAAATAGTTCACCCAACATATGAAAAAAAGCTGCATGGACTCTCATTTTGACGGCACCCATTCATAATGCTAAGTTTCTCAGATCTGTTTACATTTTTTGGTGAACTATTCCTTTAACATTAGTTAATGCAATAGCTAACTAACAACAAACTAACAATGAGCAGTATATTTCTTACAGCATTTATTCGCCTTTGTAAATGTTAGTTAATAAAAATGCAATTGCTTGTTGTTTATTCAAAGTGCATTAACTTTGATTTTGAAAATGTATTAGTGAATGTTGAAATGTGTTGTGCAATAATGTTAATGTTAGCTAGTGTTAAAAAAATGTTAATCAACTAGCAATAAACGACACTTCTATAGCATTTAATAATCTTAGTTCATTTTAACTAATGTAGTTAACTAATGTTAATGAATGGATCTTTATGGTAAAGTATTAACCCTATTTTCAATTTAAAACGAACAAATACCAAAACAAAACAACTGGAGACATGATATGTATCCATTTTGTTGTTCTGCTCAGATGGTGGGGCGGATAACAATGGTGCAGATTTACCCGATACAAACGGTAAGCTCCAGTCAATAATAATTACCTTTCTTTGCTGGAAAATCCAAATTAAACCAGCTGAAGGTTATCTTCGCATGATTTCCAGCAGGGATTTCATCATACAGTATTGTTTTGACACAAAATTCATTACTGCATTACAGGAAATGGAAACGGTCGGCACAAACCTGTGGTAGACATACAGAAAGGTATGTTGAAATGCCTATAAAAGCATGTGAAACCTATAAACGAGAGAGAACTGCAGTGTGTGTCTGGATTCGTTCACAGGTGACCCTCCAGGCATTCTTCTCGACATCAGTATGTATCTAGCAATAAAACACACACAACTAATCAACACACAATCACAACGTCATATTATTGACAGCCTAATATCCTGGAATCGATGTGAATATTCCCAAATGTCTTTCCGAACAGGCGGAACAGGCCATCAGGACGCAGCAACGGAGATGCATCACACAGCTGGTACTATATCACCCGGGTTCTATGACATCACTGAAAGTCAATTGATTTGTTAGCCATAATTCAATTTTTATGCGTCTTCTCTTGGCTAGTCTGTCTATAATGGTGGGGTTGTGTGGGTTTACCAAATGCTTGTGATTAATACGGAAAATATTTCTCATGGCAGGTTTAAAGCCATGAAATCAAATATCAGAGTTTTGTGGCTTTTAGTTCACAGCACATCTGTATGCTAGTGTACTCATGAAAGTTGACACAATTCATAAATATGCACCTTTAAAATATCTATTTAAATCAAATTTGACATAACTAATACTTATTGGCTATTAAAAAGGGGCGTGCTCTCTAAAATGATCCTACAAATGTCCTGATTCAACAAGAAATACATCAGATTACAAAATTGCTTGTCAGGTGACTCTATGGGGTCTGTAACATAGCCAATATTTTATAACAAACAATTTCATCCATAGACAACTGAACTGCAATCAGTAATTTGCTAATGAACAAGATAAGGCTTGACACTACAGGCAAAACCATTCATTTTGTGCCATTTCACTTCCATAACTGCTTCAGACTATTATACAAAACACATTTAAGAGTTTATTTTATTACCCTTTATTTGCATCTTTGGATTTCAATACATATCGTTAAAGGTGATATCGTCATACACCAAACTTAACTCTTTTATTACCATCTAGATTTTGAAGGTTTTTACAGAGGGGTTTGTTTATATGTAATGCGCCTGATTTACAAAATTGTATTCCTAAAAAGATTTTTTTCTGGCTGTTGACAGAATTTTCTGATTTATGGAGGGGGGGGGGATTTATTGAACTTTTCCAGTCAAAAATTTCTTGTTGCTGTTATTTTCAGTTGGTGCACTTGATCTAAACGACCACACTCTCAGTCCCTACACTGACATGATTGGTAAGCAAACGTACGGAAGCCTGTTTCCGTCATGTATTAAACAAATAAAAAAGGTTAATTGTGACTTTTTATCTCACAGTTCACACTTTCTCACAATTCTGAGGGAAAAACAGTCAGAATTGCAAGATATAAACACAGAAGTCTGATATTTTCTCACAATTCCGAGTTTACATCTCGCAATTCTGACCTTTTTCTCTGAATTCTAAATTTACATCTCGAATATTTTAATATTATTTGTATGTAAAGCACTTTGAATTACCATTGTGTTTGAAATGTGCTGTATAAGTAAACTCACCTTGCCTTCTCAAAGGATTTGACAGTGTCACTGGTGCAAGGGTGCAGACAGATATGGCCGGTATTATCTTTGATATTTTACCAAACATATTTTAGAAATACACCATGAATGAGTGTAAAAGCAGCATTGGTCTGTGTGCACGTACCTGTAATAACGGAGCTGATATTGTGATCAGGAGCAGCAGGTGATCCAGTGACTGACGGACAGACTCTAACAGACATGACAGGTGAGTGCAACACATTATGCAAAGGAGTAATTAAAATAAAATATTAAATATTTATAACATGCTGTTTCCTGTTAATCAGGGCAGGGACACTTAGCTGTGACAGACAGCATGCCAAATTACACAGGTAACCATGTTTCCTAAGCACATCCAGACACATGTCAGTCTAGCACTTATGCAAGGGGTTCACGTGTAGTGTGTGTTTCTGAAAAGCAGATTCTGTGCGTGCGACTGGGACTGGATTTACAGGTGAGTGACCTTTAGATTGTATTAATAAATCCGATTGAGCAAAGCACAGATAATATAAAGGTATGTTAAGTAAATATGGGTATAAATATATATGCAATAATGATCTGAAGTGACAAACTGTATGATTTTTATTTTGCCACTTCAAATGTTCTTGTCAAACTTTCAGATGCCTCAGAGACACATAGTAGCATGGTTCAGACAGACTTACCAGGTAAATTACGTTTGAAAACATCTGCCTCATCAGGTGAACTAACCATCCAGGTAAGCTGCCCTTATAAAAATGTACCATGGTAAACGTAGTTTCTGCAGAGTGACAAAGATACTGAAAGCCTGTTTGAAGAAAATGCTATCATTTTACAGTACAATAACAGATATTTTGATGGAAACTATGATTATCAAGGTCAATTTTTGCAAGGGGTTGCTTACAAAGCAGTAATTGTGTCAAAAGTTTATTAAAAGTTACAAATGAAACAAACCTTTCTTAAACTCAACTCCAGTCACAGGGGATCAATTCACAGGGGTTTCCTCACAGACAGATGCCATGGGCACAGGTGGGTGACACACACACATATTTTGCACACACTATAAGGAAAATATATATTTTAAATTTTTTATATTTCTATTTTTAAGCTACAGCTGAACCTCAAGGGACTCTCGGGAGTCCATGTTTTTAACATATCTGCAAATTGAATATACACTATATATATATATATATATATGTATGTATGTGTGTGTGTGTGCGCGTGTATGTGTATGTGTATATATATATATATATATATACACACACACACACACACACACACACACATACATACCGGTCAAATGTTTGGAATAACAATTTTAAAATGTTTTTGAAAGTGTGTTTTTCTTAATATAATAAAAACTGTGTATATATACAGTATCTCACAGAAGTGAGTACACCCTTCACATTTTTGTAAAATCTGCTCTGATAAACAATCTTTTGGTGCTTTCCCCCTGCGTGATACGACTCGACTCGGCTCGGCTCAGTACGGCACGGCTCGCGTTTCCCCTGCAGTTCAGTACCGCTTTAGAGTGGGCGGGATTATTCACATGCTGTTATAGTTGCGCCGCCTCTACTACCATGACTCCTAAAAATCCGCGTCGCCCCATCAAGCTCTCGCTAGATCCGCTCCTCTGCTATCAACAAGAGGAATGTCTGTTCTTCCGCAACAGACAACAAAAATTTTTGGTTGTTTAAAAAAGGTGCGCTCGTTCCAAACAGTTGCGTTCGATCCTTCGCTGGCTGTGCTGATTTAAATCTAGCGGTTCTTTTGTGTTTGTGTCGCAAGTTCAGTGACGCAGGTAGTGACGATTCTCTCCGGCCAATCGGTGATCAGCAGAGTTTACACGTCACGTTTTGGTAACGGTACGGTTCACTTGGAACCCCAACCGAGGTGGTACTTAAAAAAAGTACCAGGTACCAGATACTGTACCCAGTGGAAAACCCCCCAAAATATATATATATTCTGTGAGATACTGTATATATATATATATATATATATATATATATATATATATATATATAGTCAAGTTCTGTCATGAAACTCTAGATGGCGCAGGCTGATGGGTCCTTAACCTAACTGATGATATTCTTGGCATTAAATGACTTGTCACAAGCTGATTGGTTCATGTTGCAAACGCAGCCAATGAGCTTGCTGCTTTACATTTAAATGGCTGATTAGCATTCGCTTGAGCATTGCAGCACGCTTTCAGAGTTCCTCTGAATCCCTCCACCTTCCCCAGCTCCACCTGTATAGATCTGCTACGGGTTATTTCATATGCTATTTGTGCAACAGCAGTATGCCTTAAATACTCACAAGCACCATATCGGCTTATGTATTGGCAGTAGCAAGTTCCTGTACTTGCTTGCAGCAACAATAATCTACTAATGCAATAACCAACAGCAGCAGCATAACAGATCTATTCCACTAAGACCTAATACATTAGCATAGTCATATCCATTACCATGCTAAAATTTTCAATTGTCCTGATAGAAATATATATATATATATATATATATATATATATATATATATATACATGAAATGTATGAATCACACTAAATCTCTAAACCTGCTTTACCTGTTAAACTGTATATTAAAGTAACAAACAGGGTAAATTAATCAAATCAGTTGTTAACCTGTTTTTTTCTCTTGTAACAGGACAACCTGGTGCTACGGAACAAACACAGACAGCTGGTAAGCTTCATGGGAGTTCAGACCTCCTTCACTTCAGTCACATGATTTATGATTCATTGTGATGATCTCTTGCTTTCACCTCAAAGCCATGTCAAACCTGTCAAGGAAACACATCATTCATAAAACTTAATGAAGATTGAGATGCAAAAAATTATAGAGTGTCTCCTGTGCTGATGAACAGATGCTCAACAGCTCTTCTCTTTTCTCTGTTTTGCTTGTTCTGTCCAGTATCAGCAGGTGAACAGTACCACACATCTGGTCAGGGTCCTGAAGGTGGGTCTGAAATTCTTCATGCAGACTGTTCATGTTGAAATATCGTTAAAATTCATATATTCAACAGAAACATAAAACAAATGGCCCAAATCATCTTATAAATATAATTTTTTACCCATTCATCCTTAAAGGGGTCATATGATGCGATTTACATTTTTCCTCTCTCTTTGGAGTGTTACAAGCTCTTGGTGCATAAAGAAGATCTGTAAAGTTGCAAAGACTAAAGTCTCAAAACCAAAGAGATATTCTTTATCAAAGTTAAGACTCTGCCACGCCCCCCTAAAAAGGCTCGTTCTAACACGCCCCCACATATCTACCTCACTATGTGGGAAGATTTGCATAACGCCGCCCAAATGTTCATGCAAAGAAAGAAGGCGTAACTTTTATTCTCGCTGTAGTATTGTTGTTGCTGCCGCCATGTCGTGAAGATGCTGTGTGCTTCGTTGTGAAAGCAAAACTACTTTTGTTTGGTCTTCCAAAAGAGGACGATATCCGCTTCGTCATGCCTAGAGCTGATCCGGGGTGGTCGCTGAGGGAATACATCAACTTCACGCTGTGGATCGCCGGATCGGCTTTCACCGTGGACTAAGCGGAGTCCAGCCCGGGGTCGTCACATGTGGTTGCCGCTCCTTCGTCAAATCCACCAGGCGCGCCATTCTCGACCCCGCCGCCTCTGCTCACTCTATCCCGGCCTCAGCTCACGCTAAGCCATGGCTTCTGCTCACGCTAGGCCGCTGTGTTTTTC